GCAGGGGGGTACGGAGAGGGCCCAGCGGCAGCTCCTCATCGAGGCGTTCGTCTCCATGGGCAGGGTGGATAACATCACCATGGTGATGGGGCTGCACCCGGAGTACCTGGCCAGCTTCTGGAAGAGGCTGTATCTGCTGCTGCACATGGACGGGCCCCTGCCCTACCACAAGCGCCACTACATCGCCATCATGGTGAGCGGCGGGGGGCACTCAGGGCCCCGTGGCGGGGAGCTGAAGGGTGGGAATGGCTGTAGAAGGGGGCTGGGTGCTTGGGGGAGGAATTGAGAGCAGGGAGAAGAGACAAACCTGGGCTGAAGATCAGCAGCAACTTGCTAAGAGTGAGCGTGGCTGGGCCCTGGCTGGTGTCCCCTGGGGTGGGGAACGGGGCCAGAGGAGGCATCAGAAAGGCCCTGGCTTGAATCCACTGGCCCAAGCACTAGCGCGCTCTTCCTGGAGCCCTGCAAGATGAGCCCGCCCTAAGGGAACCCACCTCCCTTCTCCCCCCAGCCGCCTCCTGCTGCTGAGCCGCTCCCTAGAGATCTGTCCACAGCCCCCAGCCCTCGTAGGCCCATCGGGGCAGCCCCGTGCTCAGGACCTCTTCCTAGTCGGCTGCCTTGCCGCTCCCGTGTTCCCGGTGTTGGTGGGCAAAGGATCATGGGCGTGCACCGGGGCCGCCATTGAGACGAACGAATGGGGCAGCTCCCCCGAGCGCCGTCGTTTCCGGCTCTGCAAATGCTCCATGGTCACTTACACGAGAGTCTCGTTTCTTCCCCACCCGCGCTGCTAGAGCGCCACGTTCCCTCCTTTTAATAAGACAGCTGAGGCTTTGGGGAACAGGTGAGGTGTGTCCGTGTCCCCTGGTCCGCCCCACGCCCCGTGCCTGGGAACAGGCCGCGCTGGAGACTGTGCGAAGGGAAGGCCCTGAGCTGGCCTGGTGTGGGGGCAAGTTCTTTACCCTGGTCTCTGTCCCCACCTCCAGGCAGCGGCCAGGCACCAGTGTTCCTACCTGGTTGGCTTCCACGTGGCGGAGTTCCTGAAGGTGGGCGGGAACCCGGCGTGGCTGCAGGGCCTGCACTGCGCCCCCCAGAAACTCAGGAACCTCAGCGAAATCAACAAGATCCTAGCGCACCGGCCCTGGCTCGTCACCAAGGAGCACATAGAAGTGAGTGCCCAGCAAGCAGCCCCCAGGGCCGCTTCCCCCCTCGTCCCGCCAGCGGGGCAGTCGCTGCACATCTGGCTCGGCCGCGAGGAGGGGAACGGTGAGTGGGGGGGTCTGGCTCCCCCCTGGGATGAGCCTGCCTGAAGTGAGGGACACCGGCTGGCGGAGGTGGATCTGGGCTCTCCCGTCAGCTGAGCGAGCTGCTGCCTTTCCCGGGGTGCTGCTGCCTTTCCCGGGGTGCAGGAATGGAGGCTGCTGCCCTCCTGAAGTCTCCTCCAGTCCCTCTCCTCCCCCTCGTGATCCTGCCACCAGGTGGCGGAAAGGGGCAAATGCAGCATGGGATAGTAGGGGCTGCAGTGATCTGCCCCTCACGCCCCTCTGTCTGCCCCAGCGCCCTGCACTGGTCTCTGCTCCAGGAGGGCCGCACGGGGGCGGGGGGAGCACATGCATCCCCTCTGGGGAGGAGCTGACCAGGGAATGTCGTGCACTTGTTTCAGGCCCTCCTGAAGACGGGCGAGAACAGCTGGTCCCTTGCAGAGCTCATCCAGGGCCTGGTGCTCCTCACGCACTACCACTCGCTCGCCTCCTTCGTCTTCGGCTGCGGCATCAACCCAGAGGCGGAGCCGGAGGGGAGCCACCCCTTCCAGCCGCCTTCGCCACGCAGCTGCCAGAGCAGCCCAGCCTCTGAGGACGGAGTGAGCGGCTCCAGCGTAAGTCGGGGGCCCCGGAGCGCGATGCCGAGGCAGAGCTGGGGCGACGGGCGCGATGTGCCTTAATGAGAGACTTGCCTTCTCTCCTCCCGCCCCTCCCCGAGCTCCGCACGCTGGCCCGGAGCTTGACTTCCTGGGAATGGCACTGGGCCCTTCATTGGCGCCAAGCCATGGACGAAGCCTGGCTGCTATGGAAAATCTGGAAGTGTCTCCTGGCGCCGTCTGGGGGCTGTGTCCCGGGTAGAGGGGCTAGGACCGTGGCTCCCAAACTTTTCGTTTTTGAAACACCCCCCCCCCCCCCCCCTAAACTGGCTGGGGGGGGGGGAGAAAGGCTGCCATTTTAAGAGCAGAGCAGGCATTGCCCTTCTAAGGCGGCCATTTTGAAGTCTGCTCAGGACGCTCTATCCTCCACCCTGCCTGGGCTGCACAGACCCCCTGGGCTGCTCTTTCTTAGGCGCAGATTGACAGGGGGCTGGGTCGTCTTGCACCCCCCTGGGATTTCTTCACTCCCCTCCCCCCCCCAATTCAGGAATCTATGGGCTAGGAGCTTGTCCGGTCAACTACCAGGCTTTCCAGAGCAGAAAAGGCTGCCGGGGGAAGGGGCTTAAATCTGCAACTTTGTGAACCCTTCCCTGAGCAAGCGCCGGTCCAGGGGAACCTGCCTCCTGCTAACGCCCAAGCTGGCTCTGAGCCAGTTTCCGGGCTGGCTCGGCTGACGTGGCTTCTTTATGGCCTCTCCAGCCATCCCGGGGAGGAGCTGCCCCCCACCGGGCCCCCCTCGGCTGGCTTGGGTGGGGCTTTCTGGTCAGCTGGAGAAGTGGCTGGAGTCTTTTGTGCTGCAGCTATTTGGGATGGTTCCCCGTTGAAAGCCTGGGGAGGCAAGTCATAAATTAGAGCAGCCTCGGAGCTGCTCTAAGACACTGGGACCGGCACCAAGCCCTGGAGCCAAATCAGGGAGGGGGAGCGGAGACTTACCCCTTCCCTTGGGCCCTGCCCCTTCTGCAGGGCTTGCTTAGGGGTGCTGCTCAGAATCTAGCCCCCAAGAGAGGCCCAGGCCCCCACCTTGTACCTGGGCACAGGGCCAACTTCCCATCACATTAGTTGAACAAAGCCCCAGCAGCCGACCGCACTGAACAATGGGCATGTGGGCCCTCCAAGGACTGTTCTCTGCAGGGGGAGTTTTGTGCTTGGAATGAAGTTGGCCACGTCCCTCTCCAAAGCCCCATTGGTGCTGACCCTGCATGCTCTCGCTCTCCCCCGCCCAGGGCAAAGACGCCATGCAGGAGGTGGAGGTGCTGATGGCGAGGATGAAGCTCCTACAGGAGTGCCAGCTGGAGGAGGAGGGGGTCACGCAGGAGGAGATGGAAACCCGCTTCGAGCTGGAGAAGACGGAGAGCTTGCTTGTGGCCCCCTCGGGTGAGGAGCAGAGTTCCCTCTCTCTTTTTTTCCTTGCGTGTGTGGAATAATTTTGTTGTATGCACTAAGGGATGTGCACCACCAGTAGACACACATGCTGTGGGCGCTTGGCTGATCAGCTGGTCAGCATTTAAATCTCACCTGGGTAGCTGCCCAAGCAGTGCTCCAGGAGCACTCAGCTTACAGGGAACACTAGTGAAGAGGGGAGGGCGGGAGGCAGAGGCGCTTGTCCCAACGGGGATCCAAGGCTTTTGGTGGCTCATTTGCATTGGTGGATGTCTGGCGGTGGCTCATCTTGGGCGCGGACGGAGGGAAGGAAGGACAAGTCCTCTCTGCTGCTGCGTGATGCACAGCTGCCATCAGGGAGAAGGGAGGGAGTCCTGTGCGGGACGACCAGCGGCCCCCTTCTCACTGGCCTGCTCCCTGAGCAGGGGAGGGGGCCTGGGCACCACGATAGCTCTTGCGGATTCCTGGTGTGGGGTGTAATTCTCTCCCAGGGAGTTGGGGAACAATGTGGTTGGAGTGAATTGCACTAGGATGTTAAATTGGGTTAATCAATAGATTTTTCATCGACTAGTCGATAAGAGGAGGAGCCACAGCGGGGTTAGCGCCCAGCCCCGGGGATCTAACCCCGCTGCGACTCTGCCTTTTAAATGCATTAATAGCCGGGACGCTCTTAATACATTTAAACGGCTGAAGCGCAGCGGGGGGGACCCGGCGTGAGCTGGGGCAGCTGATTCCTGGCTCCCGCCCGGTCCCCGTTACCCTCCCTGCTCCCCACAGAGACAGTGCTGGAGGGAACCAGCTTTTACGCCAGCCCTCCCAGCATGGTTCCTGCTTCCTGGGTTCTCCCAGGCGATGGACTAGTTGGCTGGTCACTTACGTCCCTAAATTGCACCTCCCCTGAGGGCCGAGCCTTGCGGCGGGTTTGCTCTGCGCAGGGCTGTGCCGGTGGCTCGCGGCTCAGGAGTGAGGTGGGGCGGTGGCTCCGGGTTTCCTTGAGTGGCTCTTTGGCACGGCGCTAACGTCTCCCCGGTTTCCGTCCAGTGGATATCGCTGAGCACGTGCTGCCGCCTGACGGCCTGTGCTT